ACACATAGATGAGTCTGTCCCACCCATGGCACAGCCACATAGGAGAATCCCTTTCCATATGAGGGAAAAAGTAGAGAAGGAGTTACGTAAATTGGAAGACCAGGGTATTATTGAACGAGTAAAAGGGCCTACCCCTTGGGTTAGTCCAATAGTGGTGGTGCCAAAACCCAGAAACCCGGATGAAATTAGAATTTGCGTAGACATGCGACAACCTAATAAGGCAATTATCAGGGAAAGACACCCAAGTCCTACGATTGATGATATAATTGCAAAAGTGAATGGGTCCACTATATTCAGCAAGATAGATCTAAAGTCTGGTTACCACCAACTTCCGCTAGCCGAGGAATCGCGCTACATTACTACTTTCTCCACACATAATGGTTTATGGAGATATAAACGACTAAATTTCGGTATCTGTAGTGCCAGCAAAAAGTTTCAGCATATAGTTTCGGAAGTTATTTCCGACATCGAAGGGGCAATTAACATATCAGATGATATTTTTATATTTGGTCCCAATACAGAAATTCATGACAAATATTTACATGAGGTGCTAACACGTTTAAACAGTAGTGGCCTAACAGCAAATTTGGCGAAATGTGAATTCAACAAAGATCGCATGGAATTTTTCGGATTAATATTTTCAAAACACGGTGTTGAAGTAGACCCAAAGAAAGTAAAGGCGGTAACAGACATGAACGAGCCTAGCAACGTTACAGAGATCCAAAGTTTTCTAGGTATGACTAATTATTGCTCTCGGTTCATAAAAAATTATTCAACAATTACAGAACCATTGAGGCAATTAACACATAAAGGAGTTGACTTTATTTGGGGCAAAGAACATACATTAGCTTTCGAAACATTAAAGCAAGCCTTAGGAAATGCGCCTGTGATGGCATATTTCAATGTGCATCAAGAGACAGAATTAATTGTTGATGCATCCCCTGTCGGGTTAGGAGCGATGCGGGTACAATATTATACGAGCGACGATGGTAAGCGTATACCGCGCATTGTTAGCTATGGTACTCGCGCGCTCACAGCAGTTGAACAAAGATACAAAAGTCAGCTGGAGCGTGAAGCGTTGGCCATTATCTGGGCGTGCGAGCATTTTCATGTATATATTTATGGCACGCCCATAACTGTGGTCACAGACCACAAGCCGCTAGTTACTTTGTTTGGCAATGCCAATGCCAGTCTTCCGTTGAGATTAGAAAGTTGGGCGTTAAGGCTACTCCCATACAATCCCTCGATTGTATTTAGGAAGGGTAAAGATAATCCTGCGGATTACCTATCGCGTCACCCGGTATCCATAGAAACCAGCTCTCGCGAAGATCTTGTCTCTGAAGAATATGTAAATTTCATAGAGACCCACAGTATTCCTAAAGCGGTGACATTAGATGAATTGAAAACAGCGACCAAAGAGGATGCCACATTGCAGTCTCATATAGAGTTAATTTCATCACAGCAGTGGCACTTAATCAAAGTAAAATTTGCGAAATCAAAAACGGTAAATATTGATGAATTGTTGGCATTCCGTAAAATTGCAACCGAGTTAACAGTATCTAATAACAGACTTATCTTGAAAGGAACTAAGGTAATAATACCTAATGAATTAAGAACTCGTGTCATTAATCTCACGCATGAAGGTCACCAAGGCCAGGTAAAGACAAAAACGCTACTCCGAGAAAAGGTTTGGTTTCCGAATATTGACAGTATGGTAGCAAGCTTGTGTGATTCTTGTATTCCGTGCCTTAGCACATATGATGCAAAACCGCGTGAACCGTTGAAAATGACACAATTCCCAGATTCAAAGTGGTCTCACTTAGCGGCTGATTTTTATGGCCCATTGCCATCCTTCTTGTAGTCATAGATGAGTACTCAAGATTCCCGGAAGTCGAAATAATTAGGTCACTTGCAGCAAAGACTGTCATTCCGGTATTAGATAAACTATTTTCATTGCGAGGAATACCTGACAAGTTCAAAACTGATAACGGCCCACCATTCAATGGAGACGAATTTAAAGCTTTTGCGCGTGGTCTAGGGTTTAAACACCAAAGAATAACTCCATGTTGGCCAGAGGCCAATGGATGTGCAGAGCGATTCATGAAAACAATTGGCAAGGTGTGCAAATGCGCCCAAGTGGAAGGTAAATCATGGAAAAAAGAACTATACAAATTCTTACGCAACTATCGCGCCACTCCCCACACGTCGACTGGCATCCCGCCAGCAACGATAGCAAATGGTAAGCCGTTAAAAACTAAGCTTCCACAGATACCTGAGGTTGGTTGTATGCCAGAAGTGATACATGACAAATTACAACTCAATGATAAACAGTCAAAACAAAAAATGAAAACATATGCTGAAATTAAGCGAAACATAAAACCATCCAACATCCAAGTGGGTGATAAAGCATTAATCAAAAACTTATATATATTGTATAGTAAGTGAAAATGCACTACCAACTAGGGATACACATTCTCATGATTCTCGTCCAAAGAGGCGTATCACTCCACCTAACCGTTTAGACCTTTAATATAGGCTACTATACACAGGCAAAGAATTACTACACGATAAAACTCACGTGTAAAGTACTTTATGAGGTTTATTGTTCATCAAAAAAAAAAATAAAATAAATAAAAAAAAAAAATTTTAAAAATAAAATAAAAATACAACGTATATATCACTAAATGAAGTCTTTACTTGTTCTTACTTA